GACAAAAAAAATTAAATTTTTTAAACGTAACAATTATAAATAATAACGAAACCTTAGAATTTAACGTATACCATAAACCCACATTTTCGGGGAGGTATCTCAATTTCATGTCTCTCCACCCATTATCTCAGAAAAGAGATGTATTGGTGGGCGCGGTTGATAGAGCATTTTTATTATCACATCCCAAGTATCATAAAGAAAATTTGAATTTTATTATTAGGACCTTTTTAGCAAATGACTATCCCATCAAGTTTATTTTTAATACATTTAATTCAAGACTCAAAAAACATTAATTGAATAAAAAACCAAAAAACAATCAAACAATAAAAAACTACGGATTTAGACCAAGAAAATATCATGATTTACAATACCATATCTACCAGTCATCTCAGACAAAGTCAAAAATATCACTAAAGATTTAAATGTAAAATTATCCTTTTTTAGCATTAATAAACTTGATGGAATTATAAAAGCACACAAAGATGTTCTCCCTTTCGATTCTAAAAAGAACGTAGTATATAAAATACCATGTAAAAACTGCAACGCCTCATACGTGGGACAAACGGAGAGACAATTAGAAACACAAATCGCAGAACACCGCAACAATATAAATAGGAACACAGGCAATCCATCCGTCAAAATAGAACATAGATTGAAATTAAATCATGAATTCTCGACTGGAAAAACACAAAAATACTCGACCATGAAAGATACTTGGGAAAGAGACTCATTTCTGAAATGTTAAACATTAGAATGCAAGAAAATAGCATTAATTAAAAATCTGACACTGAGTTTCTTCACCACGCATATACCGTGAATATAACACAAAAAATTTGATCAATATACTTCTTTATATAATTTAACTAACTTTATGTTCGTTATTTAGACATTATTTAACCGTTCAAAATTTATATTGACATCATTGCGTTAATGTAATGTAAGCATAAACCTTTATTTATATCATAAAAATTGTTTTTAATGTTGACGGTCATGCGTTCACCGAAAACCTTCCGAAAATCAAGAAATTTGTCATTACATATTTAGACGTGATAAAAGAATGTTGTAATTTATATGAAAGGAAACTAACAATAAGACAATTCCCTCGATCATTACATAAATTGTATCTACATTGGTGTTTGCAACGGATGAGTCTTTTCATAAAATTAGATTTCGATAACATAAATCATACATAAAAATTGTATTACACAAGGTCAATAATCTTAAACCTGGCAATTTAAGACTACACTAGTTACACAATGAAAACAAAGGCCGTTTGACCACATAATAATGGTTGTACGTATACATCACTGAAGATGACTCGAATTGAGCTGAAACGTTCGAAAATGTAAGCATTAAAGGAAATACACGAACTTTTGTAAAAAAAAGATTACGCAATAATTACTACGGAGCTATTCTCACTTGCCCGATATTTTTAAATATTCACATTTTAATATCAAAATTCGTAATTAATATCGTATTTCAACATTATTTATTATATGTTTCCTAAACGTTTCTTTCGGTTATTTTTAATTGATGCAGAACGTAATTAGATTTAGCACTATTATATGACTGTTCGATTAAACACGTCGTATCTATATTCGTAAATTATTAACCATCAATTACCACACGTATTTTCTCTACCGTCGTTACCACACGGAAGTATAGCGTACCTCATCGTTGTTCAAATATTTCTAATTTTCGGTAAAATACTTAAAATAATACTATGTAAAATCTTTATTTTGAAGGGTCTAAAGAAAAATTCAATATAAGCAGAGTTGCTAAAAACAGTAAATTGCAAAAAATATTTAACGGTAAACAAAAGTGAATTTTTTGAAAAATCACAAAAAATACTCTCTTTCTTCAAAATATTATTAATTAAACTGAATATAGAGATAAACGTAAAAGAACTATAGGTGTATATTTTAACTTAAAAAATATGTCAAAGCATGTCTATACTTAAGTACTTATATTTCTCAAGTGAAATTGTAGGATTTCTCATAGAAAAAATCCGATCTTCTTCATACAAACTTTTTCATACAAACTGATGGTGCTAGGTAGGGGAAAGTATACGTTGAACACTTAACTTTTTCCCCTCCCAAATCCAGTCCCTCACTTCCTAGTTTCTACAAATGCTTCTCAATTTTTAAATGTTCCGTACCATTTTATCGGGACAAAAGAAAAATTTTGGAATTTTACTTTTAAATTCAAATTCCTATTGTTTCTAAAAACAAAATTATTGAGCATTCTCTTTTTACAATACAAAATACGCTGAAATCTCGTAACAGCTCGCTATTCGGAGGTATGAATATTACAACGAGGTTACCCTTATTTTAATTCAAAACAATGAAATTCAAGATTTTAGTTACTCCCCACCCATGCTGCTCATAACACGGAAGGAATTTTTCGCACTATTTCAAGGTCCACTATAACTAGGTTCCAGTGTATTAATCGATTAACAATAACTGGTTAATACACTGGTTATCGATTAGCAATAAGTATGACATACAAATCCGCGTATATTCGCGTATGTTCTCGGGTATCTCTTACGAGTTTTTATTTAAAAAATGAGTGACAGTAGAAAATAATACTCAGCAGAATAGAATAGCTCGTTATACATATATCTATATTGTACACAATGAGTCTTTCTTATACTGTACTAAATATAGCTATAATTGTAACTACAATTGTAGAAAATGATAAATATACTAATATAGTCTCGTAAAATTCTTGTTTTCTGCTAGTTTTCAATATACAGTTTATTTGCGTTGCTTTCACTCTAACTCTGAATTTGAATAAAAGCTCTAACCTCTTACTTGGAATTTTGAACAAAAATACCTAAAAAATCCAAAAATTCTCAGAGAATGTTTAAGATTTCCGTAAACACCCTTAAAAATTATTATTATTATTATATATTAACCCTCGACTAACTCCATTAACTAACTACACCATAGAAAATTCAATGTAGTCATCAATACGTATACATTATCATAAATTGCACTATTATTTAAAAAATAGTCAGCTCTCTTATCTTCAAGTTGATAGTGCAAACATGCTTTTTACATATACAAATATGCTTATAACATGCTTATAACAATAACAACTTTGCAACTAACGTTCGATACTTTTTGAATGCTTCAAACTATCTCAAAATGCATTTTGTGTGTAGTTCTTTACATATACGAATATATACATAAAACATAAAGGATGAAGTTGGTGTGTTTATATTTTTACAACTCTATTACATAAATTTTACAAAGCGACCTACGTTTCACCAATAATGTGTATATATAGGGTGTTCCATTCTAATTGACGTACATTGAAATAACAAAAAAACGATTAAATTTAGAAAAAAAGGTTTAGAACAAAAGTTGTACGGTCAGGAGAGAGATAAATAATAGTAAAAGCAACTTTCGAAAATTAATTTTCGAAATATGTTTTTACAATGATTCTTCTAGTTTCTGCATATAAAAATACAGTTATAAAAAATTAATAGTTTTTTCTAGTCAAAATATTTTATATTTTATGTTAAAATGTATCAAAAAATAAAATAGATATCAACTATCATTTTTTTATGACATTTTTATATACAGAATAACTGAAAGAGTCACATCATGTAAAAAATCAAACAATTCTATTTTTTTTAATGGCGATGACTTTTATGTAATTTTGAAAAATCGATTTTATCATATTATTTGTCTTCTTTCAGATCATACATATTCCCTAAAAATTTTTTTGTAAATCTAGCCGTTTTCATTATTTTGGAGTACATCAATTAAATAAAACATCCTGTATACGCGCCACTTACGCTATTATATTCCCGATTATTCTATATCGTAAATGCAACAATTATATAGTTTATATGTAATTTCGCATGAAATGCTACATAACTGATAATAAATACTACGACATATCTCATCCCTTTCTTGCTTATTTCCTTGTCAGTTAACAAAAAAGAAGTCGTGGATGACGATCTTTTTGCGTTTTGTGAACCAAACTGTGTACTTTTTGTTACTATTTTTATTTTACATCAAAGCTACATTTTGAAGATAGCTCGGAAAGGGACAACTTTTTTCACCCTTTTGTCAATGATGCAATTGGTTACAATTGCATCATTTTTTGTACTACTCTACAATTTTTTCGGTACAATAGCAGCCCCGAGTGATCATAATGCGGTAAGCATACGTTTTTCCACTTTGGAAATTGAACCTTAAAATCCTCCTTCTTTCGATCTTCCCGGTTTTCAATATCATTTATACTCTCTAAATTCTTTGACAGATCTTTTTTTACAGATAACGGATTCTAATGTGGACTCTTCAGTGAATGACGGTTAATATGACTCCTAAATCAATTTTTAAGAAATATTTTTGAGATATATCGTATATTTGTGCTACAACAATACCATAACTCAAGAAATGAAGTTTTTCAGAGAGAGAGAAAATAAATTTCAATATTTTAAATTATTAAAATTTTGTAATATTAATTTTAAAATGGTGTATAACTCGTCAATGAAGAAATAAAACTATGTTCTTTCAAAGTACATTTTTTAAATATTTTTTTTAATCTGTTCTTAATCTGCAGATAACTAAAAAATGACAATTTTTTAATTATGTCATTATTGTAACAAATAAACGATATCATCTATAATTTCATCGAAAAAATAGCGTTATCCTCTGTGAAGTTAGTTCCGTTTTTTTTCTAAATTAAAGGAGAATGCTTAGAATTCCACTTTTCAAAACATTCTAAAATTCCAATTGGTTTTATAAAGAATTTTGTTTAAAATGAGGAAATTGATATTTGAAAACTAAGGATTAACTTTTTAATACCATACCTAATTTTTGAGGCAAGGAATCTGATAGTGGAGTTAAAAATTATGTATCGATAATAGACAATACGCTATATCATGTTTTGGCATTAAAAATATAGCATATTTTATAAAAATGTTGTAAAGCAAAAATATTAGACCCAACGGAAAATTTTCGAGCGATTGCACAATCGCTGCGTTGGAAGTCTTTCCATACTCGACGAACGCTATGCGACGCTGTTTTGACGTGTAAACGCTTGAAAACTTTCCGTTGCATCTATTCTAATAATTATCCTTTCAGGACCTGAACATAACTTATGAAACATCCTAACATAATTTATGAAGGGATCCTGTTTTCTATAAAAGCTTTTCGGAGTTGAATTAGATTCTCAAAATTCTAAAATTCAAATTTCAAAAAAATGATCTGATTATTGTAAAATTCTGTTTTAGAAAATTCTTGATATCTCTGAGTTTGAATGTAGTCTGAAAATATTGAATTTCAGAAGGGTAATAATTAATATAAAGGAAAATGTCAAGGCTTATAATTAGAATTTAAAAGTTTGGAAATTAATACTAACCATTTACACAGCACTGGTAAACTTCAAATGAAACAAAACTGAAAATTTAATATTACTTCGCAATTAAAAACTTTCTAATACCAAGTTTTATGATCAAATTATTTTTTTTAAATTCTGTCCGTTATATTTTACCTGATATCTTATCTTTTAATTGATATAAATATTACTATCGTCCGTACTAAAATTAAATCAATATTAAAAAAATTTTTTTACTAAAAAAGGACAAAATTGTTTAAAAGATTAGAACTTTAGTTGTTTACAGTTTAATGCTATAGCTTAATACAACTTTCTTTTTCTAGTATAAATGATTATATTCAAGTAGAAAAAAATTTGTTAGTTCGTTTCGGCTTAATAGAAGTTCTCCAATTACTTCTATCAGCATTATTAAATAGAAAATGTAGCGGTTTATAACTTTGAAAATACTAAGTTTACGACTTTTCTTTTCAAGAAATTCCTAAGATATATAGTTCAGATCTAAATAAATAAATGAAGAACTTTAAATTTTTATGTTTAATAGCTTTTTTTTATTAAAAGAAATCGTCAAATTTATCATAAAAATCGTTTTTTAAGTCAGAGAATCCTCTATTAATATTAATAGAATCTCTTAATATATATTAATAGAATATTAATAGAATATTAATAGAAATCTCTTAAAATCGTACTTGTAATTTAAAATTGTTTGATATTCCTTCGAAATTCCATAACAATTACAAATTTTTAATAATGATGAGCATCACGTGAACTGTGTCTCAAGCTTTTCAATAACATTTTCTATCTTAAACTCTTTCTAAAACTACAGAAAACCCACACTTTCACAAAGTCTTAAAATCTTAATCTTTTTTAATTCTGAACAATGAAGGTAATTTTACAAACAGTTATGTATGTAATAATATTAAAGATGAATATTAAAAAAAAATATTAGCGCCATACTTATTCATCTTCCTTATATTATGAGAAACAAAATTGAGCGTACGTAGTCACACACAACTATACAAACCATAAGTTTAATATGACTTTACATTTTCTGCATATTTGTCAATAATTTACAGTCATCAACAATGTAATATCAAATTTTATATAGAGATACTCGTATTTAGCAAAGTATTGTGCTTCTTATAATCAGATTCTCCTCAACATTAATATCTTCTTTTACATATCTTTTATTTTACACCGTTGTATTATGATATTTTTTATACACAACATACAGGGTATTCCGAAATTTACGAATCAAAATACCAAGTAAGAAAATTTAAAACAAATTAAGTAAAAAGGTCTTTATAATTTTTTATTTTAAGCAAAAATTGTAACGTAATAAGGGTTTAAATATGGTCAATTACGGACTATGTTTAAACGGACTATTTTCACTGAAATGCGCATTTACTAAACTATTGCACGCACGATTCATGGCCAAGTGGTCGTCTAAACATAATCTATGGTATAATTGGCTATATTTAAACCCTCATATTTCTCAAAACTACTGCTTAAAATAAAAATGTATACATAACTTTTTTACTTAATTTTTTGAAAAAAAATCTTCCTTGCTGTGATATTTTGATCCACGGGACATCCTGTATGTATAATATTTATATGCCGCAAACGAAATGTAGACATTTTTAATAAAACTTTTTTACAGATTTTATATTCAATCTGGCAATTTCTTGTATCTTTGGTGTTAAATCAGTTTCAACTGTTCTGTACACGAGGTAAACCGCACACATGATGAGTAATGTACTAATGTAACTGTAAATTTATTTCTTGCACCGCTTATGTTTGCATTTTTTACAGTAATATTCCTAATGGCAAAATTGTTCAAGTAAACGAATCCTGCAATCTTATTGATCCCTCGAAACCGGTTTTCTTCATGACTCATGGTTTTCTTTCCAATTCACTCAATTATAATTTTCCTAATTTTGCCTCTCTATTGTCCAAGGTATAAAACATTTTTATACTTACTAATAAAATTAAAATGTAGAATTTTTTAATGTAATTTGTAAATCTTATTTGTATATTGTATTTAAAAATCTTATATTACGTTATACAAATAATAAAGAAATATTGTAACATTCACAATAAAAAAATTAATTAAATAACTTCTTTTTTGTATATAGAAAGATTATGCAGTGTTTTCATTAGATTGGTCTAACGCAGCATGCTATAACCGAGTAACAGCCACTATGAATCTGCTGGAGTATCCTCTTGCAGTACGTAACACTCGTGAAGTTGGTACCTATTTGGCGAGGTATATTATAGCTATTTTACAATATTACGTTAAATTAAAACAAAATATAATATAATAAAAGATATAAATTCAAATTCTCTCTCTCTCTCAACTAATTCTAATTACGATTTAAATAAATAAATTTTAGATAATAATAGTATTATAATAAAATTAAGTAATACTCCAATGATAAATGCAACATACAATACAAAATAAATATAGCGTCTATCGAAATTTAGCTTCATACGTTATACAGAGAGTGTTATTCCAGACTACTCGACACTCCTTTTATTTTCACAGGATAAGATCCAATAATAAAAATGTTTAGACAATAGTTTTACGGTTTAAACAGATCTTTTTACTAGTCTTATCAATTTGACTTTGGGTGGCGTCGCCAAGATCAGGTCAAGATCATATCGATTTTTTAAAATGGAAACCTTCATTTTTATTGCATTCTTGTAACTTATCTTGACAGCTTTTCAAAACACTATAATAAAATATTTTTTCATTAAGAGTTTTCGAGTTATAAGGCTTGAAAGTTACAGTATCGCTGATATTAGCATTATCTAAGGTGTTCGATTGATGGTCAAAACCTTTTAAATGTTTTTCAGGGTTATGATCTTGACATCATATGTACCAAGATCAAGGCCCCTTTGGAGGTTGTTTCTTTTATTTTCATTTTTACTGTAAAAATTAAAGATGACCTTGAATAACATTTAAAAGATTTTAACAATCTATCGGACACATTAGATAATGCAGTACTATAACTTTCAAGTCTTATAACTCAAAAAGTACTTAATAAAAAAATATTTTGTTACAGTGTTTTAAAAAATGTTCTAAGATAAACTAAAATTATATGTAAACAAAAATATGTAACAAAACGTGGTGGTTTCCATTTGAAAAAATCGATGTGACCTTGACCTAAGCTTGGCAACGTCACCCAAAGTCAAACTGATAAGACGAGAATAGAGCTTTTTAAACTCTAAAATTATTGTCTGAACATATTTTTGATTGGACTTTATTCTATGAAGATAATAAAGAGGTCTGGAACATCCTGCATTTATATAGATACATATATATACTACGCGCATAAATTAAAGCATCACCTCTCACACCTTCGAAAAATGGGTAAAGAAGTGTAACTTCTACAAAAATGGTCAAAATGAGATTTTAAAAAAAGCATTTTGTAGCTTGAAATCTCTACTTTCCAAATCTGTATAATGAAATAACGATTCAGCTGATTTTTACGGAACTACATGATTATAAAGGAAGATCCGTAAAATCTCAAAATTTTTTGTAAACTTTGCACAGTTTCATGCCGTGAATGAGAAGTCGGGCACAAATACAATTCACAGCTTTCGAAAGCGTGATCCTTTACCTTCAATTTACTTTTTTTTCCTCTGTACGATTTTTTTTTACCGAGTTATTCAACATTGAAGTAAAAGTGGTCCCTTTGACTTTGACTGCTCATAAAAGACGAACGGAGTGACGTACAGCATTTTTTAAACGAGCAAAAAAAAGTTCAAAGTTTTCTCTTTAAGATGCTTTTATCAATTTTTAGACACAGATAAGCTTTTTATGTAAAAACTTAAGTGAAAGGTGAAGTTGAAAACTGAGACAATTATCTGTTTCTATTCAACTCGATCTATTCTGATCAAAAAGAAAGAGAAACCCTATGATATTAACATAATTTTACACTTTAGAGTCTACTGATTTCAACGAGACTCATATAAAACAGTTGCGATATTTTAATATGAGTCTCG